TCTTTGGCCAAAATGATCGGCATACCAGCATGAAATGTCTGCCCAGAGGACTGCTGCCAAAAGCATTACATAATTTATTTGCAAGATTAATAATAAATATTTTGCCAAGAATTGCTTCAAGGTCCTAAAACTGGGTTACTGCTATTATTATTAGTGAGGCTGGGTGCAGACAGGCACGAGAAATGCTTTTTACCTACGTCACCTTGCAGTCACAGCAAGGATGACAACATGCCATCACAAGGCCTGTACTGCTGTGGGATGGAATCTGTAACAGCAACATTGTGCACTATTTTCATCTGTCTTTTATCACTGAATTATTTATTCTTCTTTTCAGTAAGTTATGGGTTTCCTGATATTTACAAGTCTATTTACAGCCTAAGGTGGGAGTCATCAGCCCTTCTTTCTTTAGACTGCACACACTGGCAACTCATTTTGCTGCTGAACTATGTTTCTAACAAAAGCCATACAGAAAAAAGGCAGAATATAAAGCTAGGCAGCCAGACCTGAAAGCCACTGCCAATATACCATCTACCTGTTCACCAAAACCACAATGGATCGATGGATGACTTCTCATGCCAGGCATTGTGGAACAGGGAAATAACATCAAACTCTAAATTTAAGCTTCATCAGATAATCCTTGTCTTCCTTTGCTCCTCCCTGTTGGACAGCACTGTTTACACTGCGTATGGCTGGATAAGGTGGGCACAAGTGAATTAAAGAGAATATACCCTTCCTGGTTCATCCCATGACCTGACAGTCCCAGGCTTCCTTGGTATGTGAGACATCCCAGGCTTCCTTTTGGCTGTGACACATCTCTGAAATGAAACTGTTGGTGCTGGCAGAGACACAACGGCCAGTGGCGATGACTGCAGATGTGGTAGCAGAGCTGAAGATGGCTCTGTTGGCCATCAAGATTCATCAGCAAATGATTTTCACCAAATTATTCTGCCGGTCTTGGCTGAGAAGTTTGCCCACACTTTGCACATGGGACAGTCTGATCTCCAGCAACCTCTGAGTAACCAAAGAGGCTGATCTTCCACATCTCCTCACAAAACTTTGCATCCTTTTCTTCTGGTGATCTAGTGATCACAGCCCATTACTCCTGAACAGTGGTGATAGATCAACAGACTTAAAAGTTCCTGGTAAGAAAATCAAAAAGTGCATTACATTTTGAAAGCTAATACGATTCTCCTACATTTTCTGTGTTACAGCTGAGTTGGAAATAAGCACTTGTACCATTTTGTATATTGTGTCTATATTTTTTTAAAATAAAGTTACCAGACCAGAGGTTTGGGAGGTAGATCTAGCTGGCAGAAATGTTTTGAATGTCCTCTGTCTTACTTTCAAGTACACAGAGAATAGAGTATGAACTTAACAACTACTGAATATCTCTTGGTGTGTCTGGACAGTCAGATATTCTTATCAATGAGAGCCATCTTCACATTATATGGAAGGGAGGGGAAGAGAGAGGAAACAAAGAAGCAATTTGAATTTCATAGAGAAATTCAAATTACAGTGCATTATTGCCCATGGGAAGTATGTCAGATATGGTGTCTTCTCCTACCCACTGAAATGGTTGTTTCCTTGTTGTTTTTGGTATTTGACAAAGCATTCATTGTAATTAACTTAAAAACTGTATTTTGACATCTGTATGAAAAAATTACTAAAAAGAGTAGTTTCTAAATGTCCTCAGACAATGTGCAGTCTTTCACAGAATCCTGCAAATAATGCTTACAGACTCAGTTGGGAAGGACAGACAAATCTGTCCTGAGGTTTCATCTTGTGTTCAGAGTTGTCATTATGGGACAGGAATATAAGGAGGGGAAAAGAGGCTTTACAAATACATCTTCTGCTATTTAAAGCAAGACATACCTGCGTGCAATACAGACTGTCATAACCCATAATTCTCTTATTTCTAAAATAAGCCTCCCCGTCTTAATAAGGTACAGGTGGCACTTACCATAGTGAGTGTCCTGCTTTTCTTTTTCTTCAAGTTGCTTCTTTGCTCCATTTCAAAGTGTGCTTGAGACTCCTCTTAGCTTGTTCAGACACGCAGACTTACTGTGGGTTTCATTCCAGCCTGATTCTGAGACTCTGTCATAATCTCTTCCACAGGTGACCCCATCCCCCCAGTTTCAGCCTAAAAATCAGACTGCTGTCATGAAGGACAGACAGAGCTTTCTGTCTGGAGAAGTTCATTAGAGAAGTCCACTAGAGAAGAACCTATACCAATTGTATTGTTGGACCTGCAACACCATCCCTGACTTTTAGTACAAATTTTTAGATAATTCTGCACTGAACTACAGCATCTGAATGGTCTTGGGGATTGGTAATTGTGGTGCTCCTTTTACTAAGCCATAATCCTATGTTGCAGCACTGTGCATGTCGATACTGTACAGCTTGTATTCCCTGCTGTTGGCAGAGCTTAGTTTGCAAAATTCTAAATCAGATCTCTTGGACAGCAAAGGACTAAGGCTCCCTGTATGGGCAGAAAGACTCTGGCAAATGGGAAGTAGATACAAGGTATGGAAGACAAAGGCAGTGGTAACAGGGGTGGTGGTGGCAGGCTGCCCAAACTCTGTCTTTACTCTGTGCGTGGGGTGAGCAGGGGAACAAGGGGAATTTACTCTGAGCTCTGCCCTAAAGCACACTGAAGGCAGCCTGAGCTCAGACCATCCACCCTGTCTGTTCGTGACCCTCCACCCCAACATGCTCTTTTTGAAGCACTGGAGAGGATAAGGCTTGGCCAACATGCACAGTAAGACAGACAGTCAGACAAAAGTATGTACCACTCTAAAAAATTCCACACTGAGTCCCGAATAAGCCATAAAAAGCAATGGGAAACTCTGCCCTTAACATGAACAGAAATCTTGGTGCTCTGCATTAAGCCACTAACTACAATTGCTTCTCATCTCATACTTTAGAATTTCAGTCATTCCCACCAGAGGGAAGCAATGATAATTTCCTGGCAGAGCACAGACATTGTTGGTAAGTTTTTCTTAATTTTTTTCCCTTAAATGACACAGAGGATGAGATGAGTAAGTACTTTGGAGCAGTACTACTTATCTTCTTTGTTAGGTGTGCACATGGTATGACTCATATGACTGGGCTATACTAATAAGCAAGATCTGAGACTTGGAGAAAACATTTTGAAATACACATCTAACCAAATATTTTGGGTACACTATTTCATTGTATTGTATTATTTTTATTTTTTGCTCAGTAAGCAGGCATTTCTATGAAGCTAAATGGCCAATAAAAGGCAGAAATACAAATTGTGCATTTAATGGTCCATTTGTTCTTTAAATCTTTGAAACAAGAAGCATGGAGCTCTGAAAGTGCTCTCTTTGAAATCAATAGGCTACTTGAGGCATTAAGTGCCACTCAACATGGGTAAGTATGACCACATGTCTTGTCATATATTTCAAAAAGAAATATTTTAGTTTCAGATTTTAAACATATTAGGTATCCTGCAGGTACCTAGTAGAAATTAGTAGAAAACATATCTGATGACTAAACTTAATAGCTGTTTAATTAACTAAATTATGTGACTATAAATTTTCTATCTTGTAACAAATTATCACTACTAATTCTAGCTGCATTATAATACTCTCCTCATAAAATTGATATATTTGTCATTTAGTTGCCTGGGACATCAACTTGCAAAGAAATTACAGGTTAATTCATATGTTATAAAGCAATGTCATATCAAGATATTTCCAACTAATTATTGTTTTTACATCACAAGCAATATCTCCTGTGACAATTCACTCTTGTAGCAAAAAAGGAACTGAATTGTTTTAAAAAAAGTTGAAGTACATTTGACAACAAGAATACCTACCTACACAATGACATGATGGGTGCAGCTAGTAAAGTATAATTACCTGAAAGTGTTAAAGTATACTTGATGGGGTTCACATTTAGGTGTGACAAATCCTTTTAAATATACTTCACTGGATATAAAGATACTTATAAAGTATTTTTTATCCGCTGAAGTATCACTCACTACAGCAGTTCTGAAGCTGAACATAATTCTGACAGGCATTTATATCAGCAAAGCATTCAATTAAAAAGATGGCTGAACAGAAAAGCAAGTTTAAGGTCCTCTGGCCTTGGGAGTGTAGAACTCTGTATGTATACATCACTTTCTTGCTCAGTGAGAAACACACTAATTTAGTTAAAATTTGTGTCTTTACTTGTTAGAGTTTCATTTGCCTTTCCACAACGTTACAAGTACTTTCAGCAGTGCATAAGACCAGTTCCTGAATTAATGGTTTAAAAACCCTGTTATCCCTTAGGTTAAATGTGAGAAAGATGCCATTCCATATTTAATACCAATGCACTGGCGGTCCAATTAGTGGATGAGCGTGTGAAGTGTATGTGTATAAAAAAAGGATAATTTTTGTTGCCTCATCTTATTCACACAAATTGATATAAGATGTGAATGTAGCCTTTTCCTATTATTCCACATCACAAGGACAAACATAAGTTTCCAAATTTATAAATCCTGAGAGTTGCTTAGAAAATAACTGGTGGAAAACAGACGCTTCAGCCTTACTTCTGGCATGTAATTCCCTTCTATAGTTTACCTTGATGGTGGATGACAACCAGAAACAGGTTACCATCACAAATATTTTTAAATTTCTTTCTGATTTTTCTCAAAACATTCTAAAAGCCATAAGTATGAGAAACCTTTCACAACTTATCATCAGTAAAGGATGAAAAAAAGGGGACAAATAAGTTCAGAAAAACATCAAATAAGAAAATTACGTAATTGCTTGTTAAAAAAACCACTTCATTTCTACCAATTTTAAAAGCATAGCTGCTTACATTTTTATGTCATCTGAATCTCTGTATATGGATTTGGACTGTGATTATTGCTTTTTACTTCAAAAGTACTCAGAGATTTGTAAAATTTAATGTGGAAAATAAACCAGGAAATTTACAAGAAAAACTAAGATAAAAAAGTGTACTTTGGGGAAATAATGTAAAATGCTTACCTTTGTGTTTGGGTGGCATAACTGTTATCATATGCCTCATAGCTTGGATCATCATATTCACCCCCATATCCATCATCGTATCCCTAGGGGGAAAACAAAACACCACAGCTTAGAAGAGTGATAAATCAAAGCATATTATCAAGCTGTAAAAATAAATTGCATCAACATGGGCATGTCATGTTTGCCCACGATAATGTGAAACATGGAGCTGACTGAAGAGAATTGTGAATTGTGAAGAGCAACCTGTACATTGCAAGAATAAAGTAATCAGTCACTCATTTAAGAACTCACCTTATTCACTGATAAACTGTGGCGCATTGTCCAAACCACAGTGCCTCAGTGGGATCTGTGTGGAATACTGATGAAAGAATAATAAAACCAGCAATTTCTGAGCAGTTTGTTACATAAATGGTTCTATAAATACCTACAGGTGAAATGAACAAATGGCAGGTCAAAGATACTGTCTCTTCTACACTATTAAGAATGGTGTTAAAATCTTAATATTCAGTATATTGAAAAAATGCAAAACAACAAAACAAAACACAGCAATCTATGAGAAACAGTATCTTTCAAGCAAGTAATGGCATATTACTTTTAAAAATAATGCAGAGTAAGCCCCTTTACTTTCACTGAGCATCTTACTCTTTTATGCTTTTCTGTGACAAATTAACCAACAATTTAGCACAGGCTCCTGCCATCTAACTTAAGGTTCTCACTCAAGAGGTCAGACGGATGAGCAGGCCACCTAAGACAGATAGACACAAGTGACTTCAGAAAGTGGTTCAGCTCATCTAATGCCGAATTTACCACTGAGAGAGTCACTGGCAATTGTGATCCATTGTAGCTGTCTCTGAACCAAAGAATGCTCAGGAAACACAGAATAAATAAACAAATAAATATATATATAATCCAAGGGATGAGTTTTGATATGCTCTTTTCATAGGACAACAGAGTAAGAAAGAAATGCTGTATGGAAACGAATTATTTTTTATTTCTTTGTGATTTTGGGAGCCAGTATTTGCAGTTAAATTGCAATGAAACATTTCATTATCTACAGAAAACCTTGCTGTTAAGGGAAATGCTAAAGGAAATAGTGGACTTAAAGAACTTTTACTTGATGTTAATTACAGCAAAAGGCAATTTTTTCCTCCCACAAACTATGCAAAATTTAGTCAGCTTGGGGGAGAAGGGACAGCATGAGGCAGCTCCAAAATAACAGCAGTCCTAAAGGAATCACTCTAGTACACTATCATAATCACCTAAAGTACAGTTAGTTTGGTACTTCATTATTTCTGCTAATTAAACTGCCCAGCAGTATTAAATAAGACTTCACTGGCATTCCTAAATTCAAGAAAACATTCTAAGGAGGAAGCATTCAGTTGTTTCCTTAGGTCAAGCATATTAAATCTGCCTGTTCCTCTGGGCTGCCCAGCAGTGAGGGTAAGGGTGGATTCCAGGTAGGAGGTTTCATCCCTGTGGTGCTCTAAGTCCTGAAGGAAGGACAGGACTCTGCATAGTGATTTCACTGTCTCAGCTGTAGTAAAGTAAAGACTTTTAGGGCAGAAAGGAGTGTCCATTTGTCCTGGGGTGGTGTTATGATGCTTGTATATCCCCATTCATCTGTTCTGTGCCTTTAAGACCGGCTCTGAAGAGTGGAAGTTTTGTTTGGGTTTTTCTTATCAGGACACAGAGACAAGCGGTACATAGGGCTGTTTTTTCACTTCCAGCTTCAGCTTGCTGCTCCTGCTTGCTCTCTTTTTCTGCTCTTGCTTCTGCTCTGCTTTCTGCCTCTGCTTATTAGCTAGTTCTAGCTAAACAGTCCACATTCCTTCCTGGACTGTTTCTC